GTATTATGTACTTTGCTGGTCACTACTGTGCAACATTGGCTCCTTCCCTTTATTAATGGAGTTTATCCATCAAGTGTTGAACAAATCGTTTCAGGAAACAAAACACTGTAATAAATGTGTCTAGAATTAGAGCCACTTGTAGTCTGGTGACTGATTTTGGATATTTACAAAATTAACAAACAAACAAACAAACAATAATTGACCTGAACTCTTTCCTTGCCAATAAAATGAAAGTTAACTAGCAGATAGTATATAGTTTCCACAAACAATGTGGAAGAGACTTAGAAAAAGCCAGCAATAAGTGTGCTTATTTGTAAAGCACTTACGAGAAAGGATCTGGTTAGAACTATATATATCCTAATTGCTCTAAATCATTCACGTCGAAATGGATTGCATTTCTGGGTAATTAATTAAAATGGTGACAGGGTCATGGACAGCATTCAGCAAGTGATACAATAGACTCTATAAATGAGAAGGGAAACAGAAAAACTGGCTTGAGGCAGAGAAACAAAGAGGAAATGAATATAGGAAAAACTACACTATGAAGAGAAAAGGCAGAAAAAGAAGGGAAAACAGTAAAGGAAAGGAAAAAAAGACAGCCACTCACTTCCTGCTGTGGATATCCATCCCATTTCCAAGGCTTGCATCCACCTTCGCTACCTCCACAAACTAGCGTCCCGAGTTACTCATTGGTCATTTTAAAAAGAGAGTACTGGAATTGGAGACTTGAGCATCATAAAAAGGTACTCATGAATCAAAATCATTTAGGCTTTTATCCTCAGAACCAATAATACTTGGGTTTAAGTCATTGATATTAATTGGCCACTGTTGCCGATCCCTACCTACATGTTAAGTCATTCACTAGGCAATCTTAGCATAGCTATCTGTGTCTGACTTCATCTGCTAAATTAAAAGGACAATGCAGAACGGAACCCTCCTCCTGTACCACAGGCTCACCCAAGCTGCAGCAGAACCCAGCCCCGACACCCTTCCCTTACTTCCCTTTTACCTTTGGATCTTCCTAGAGCATTTAAGCAGTCAGTTTCTTCATAGACATTCCAGTTGGTCTGAAGGTCATGTTCAAACAGCTCTTCTAAGGGTTTCTAGAATAAACATCTCAACACCAGTTTGGGCACTATCTGTTTTTACTGTTTTGAGGGGCTTTTGTCTGATGGGAAGCATCATCCAAGAGTATGACACGGGAAGAAGAAAAGACGCTGGCATGTAGATTTTTCTTGGAGTGACCATCTCTTTGGATTTCCCCCCACCTTTATCCAATTTTACATGGGCTTGTGGGCTTCCAAAGACTTCATTCCATTTTTGCCCATTAGACAGTTTAGGCAAACACCTCCCTTAGGCATTGTGAAAGCCTACCTGTCAAATTAAGATTAAAAAACAGAACACTGGGAACTTCCCTTAGGGCTACTATGGGGTTTTGTTGACATTTGGGGCAGGAAACAACAGGAGGGGGCATTGTTAAAACACCCTATGAAATTGCTTCATCAAGTGACTTGTCCTTCAAGACAAGGCCTTTGGCTTAAGCATCCTGATAAAGTATATTAACACAGCAAGATGCCATCTTGCTTCTGACTGGATTTCAGTGAAATTCAAGAGCAGAAGGGATGTTCAATTAAAAAAAAAAACAACTTGGCTCTTGCTAATAGATAAACCAGAGCCTAACATTTCTGATGAAGAAAGGCCCTTCCTAAACCTAATACTAGTAGTAATTTAGTAAGTTTACTCTACTTGCTATTTTCATGCACCCTTGTCCAGCCTCGGGTTTCTATTTTGAAAGATGCTCCGGTTGAGGTTATACATGTTAATTTGAATTTGTACCATCTCTCATTTTGTGTGACATATGGAAATGAATTTATTGAGAACTATTGCAAATATCCATGGATTCTGTAAATATGTACCAATGAAAATGTAACAGCTATCTCAAATGTGTGTGGGACTTCATAAATTGGCACAAGAGCTAAGCACATAACTAAAGCTGAGTAAAATAAAATTTCAGTCATCTGGACCCTTTTAGATTTCTACTCAGGAATTATCTTTGTAATAGAACAACCTTCCCATGGAAAAGATAGTCCTTGGGGAATGTGAGGCATGAGGGGTAGAGCAATAGGGGGAAGAGCTAGCCATCCAGTCTACTCAGTGCTACCACCAACCTATGACTTACTTCATTATTTTTAAAATTTTTATTCTGTTCTTGTTACTAAAAAATGCTGGTTTATAATATGGTTATTGGCCAAAGCACGGGTCACTTGTGTTTACTCCATGGAAATTTGGAATAAGCTATATTTTTCTTTCCTCATAACTGATGTCTTTTAGAAAAAGAAGAGAGACTCTGACATAGAGGTACCTTAGATAAATTTTAAAGGTAAGACAGGATTACATGAGAATTATTTGAAGTATAGAGTTTTCATCCTTGAAAAAAAAGTGATGATACCTTATTCTCTGTAACAGTGAACCCTACAAAGTGCTGGGGTACAGCTAGAGACTAATATGAGGGCCCAGTGAGTTCACATACATCCGCGCTCCGGGACAGGACCGAGACACACACAATGACAATGACCAAGCCGTCATTCACAGCTCAGTCTTCAGGGGTTGGAGGGATGGATTTGTGTACAGAAATCTCAACAGAAAGCTTTTGTAACAAACCGTTTCTGTCAGAAGTTTATTTTATTGGTAAAATATTAAATAATATACAGAATTAAAAACTGCACTTACACTTCTGAGAAGAAATAAATCTTGGACAAATTATATGCTTGTTCCTGAGATTGGCTAAGTTTATTCCAGTAGCTGTGCACTCAGACAGTACAAACATTTATAATATTAACCCTTTCACAAAGAATTACAAAGGTTCTGCAGCTTCTTTAGTCGTACACACACATCCACACATTCACACATGCATATACCCACTCACACATCATCTACACAGTACCCACGGACACGCACAGAGCGTGCATGTGTGTGCATTAAAAACAAAGAAAACACAAGTCCCACCCTTGAGTCTGCAGTGATGAAACTGTTTAGTGGAGGTCTCCCAGTCGGTGTGCAGCAGAGGGACAGCCCACACAGCTGCAGAGGCTGTGGCAGTGCTTCCACAGTAAACCCCATTTTCTGAGGTATTTGAGCCTTAAAAAAATAAAAACAAAAACCCTACATTACACTGAGCAAACCTGACACACAAGGTCTGGAATTTTAATTTTACAGATATTTATAGATATATTTCTTTTGCAACAATAGTTTTTATTTCCCCAAATTATTAGTTTGAAAAAAAAATGAGGTTTACTGGTTTGATTTTTTTTCTTTTTTCTTCTAAAAAAATCAAAGTATTCTAGAAACTGTCAAGCAATTAGTCCTTAAAATAGTCTAATTACCTTTGGTATTGTTAAAGAAAGAAAGGTAAGTGGCCAAGACACATACTGTACAAATGCAGCAAATGCCTTTGAAAGAAATGCCAAAAAATGTTACTTTTTAACAAAACATGTATTTACATTACAGCAGTTTTACTACAGGAACACAGGTATTTAAAAAAAGAAAAAAGAAGAGCACGCTACATATAAATACGAATGATACAAAAGCTATTCCTCAATCTGCATGAAAACAGGTTGCTTCAAATATTTAAAAATTTTTCTTCAACAGGTAATATGTATTTAAACCTGACCTAAGTGCTTTGATATTTATTTTCCAAAAGGAAGAGAAATAAAAACATTAAATATTAGTTATTTAACTTAAGAGCATTAGACAAGAATGGGAGAAAAAAAATCCATTCTGTTAGGATTTCAGTTTCAGGGTATATTTCTCACTCATAATTTCAAAGGTTATTTAGGCTAAACGAAGCTTCTAGAAACTCAGAAAGTCATTTGTTTCTACGTTTTTTAATCTTTTGATAGTGGAGTGATTTTCATCTTTGCTTGTTGTGTCCTTTGACATGTTAGAATTTCCAACAGTTTCTTTTTGTCGAAGAAGAAATGTCAGACAAAGAAAAATTACCATAGTTTTTAAGACTTCAAGAGTGATATTGCACTTTTATGAAAAGAACGAATATTTGTTAAACTAAACAGAAGAAGCAAACCCTTCTGAAACTGCAAATAACACATGGTTTAAAAGGATGGACTACTTGTGTAAGCCCGGGACTTGGGGACCCCTTCCGAGCCTGAAATTTACCAAAGAACTGTTAAAGCACTTGTCCCCCTAATTGGAAGAAAGTTAACTCTTTGCTTTACAATTTTATTCTCATTCTAAGTGTTGGGAGGGGGTAACTATTCTTCTGTGACTTGTATTTTAGAAGAAAGTCAAACAATTTAACAACCAAGCAGAAAGGAGTCAGGCAGACACTCTGATTACAGAACCTCTGGAGTGACACGGGCTGTCTCATCCTTGAGAATGAAGCAAAGTAAGGACTACATAGCTTACTGGCTCAACCCAACCACTCTTTAAAAATATAAAACTACCCTTGAGTATAAAAATACACCAGCAGATTATACAGCTAAGAAATACTACTGAAAAAAAATTAAGACTTAATGAATTAGAAGCTCAGAGTTGACCTCCTCTTCTATTAGGAGCGTCAGGAAAAACACCCGAGACACTGGAGGAACGGCTGTGAACGGTGGAGACAAAGACGTGAGAACTTACAACCGAAGAGGTGAAAACCTATCTTTGTCATACGGAAGGGCACGCGATTGATGCACAAAATCTCAAGTGCTCCACAGTCAAACTTTTCTTTAGATCACAGTTTTGTAACTTGAACAACTTTTAAAAAAGAACAAAACAACAACAACAAAAGTATCAGCGACCCCTAGATTCTGTCTCTCGTTAGTTACAGTGTATTCTTTTTAAAATCCATTTCCAGTAACTGAAACTCAGTGACATCCTAGCATGTGCATAGTAGGGGATTCAGTGACCTCCATCTGCCCAAGCTTTCCGTACTATGTATTACAAGAGGTAAACCGAAGGCTTGATGTACTGCAAACTGGCTTTTTTGTACCTATAGGAAGCTTTTACTCTTTACTTAACATGGCTTTTAGCACATGACCTCTAAATTTTCATATTAATTGATAATATAAAAGTCATCGTAGGAAACTAGATGTTCATGTACCACAGTCTAAATGGGATAAAGGTGAATTTATAACAAACATGTCAGAACATATACAAATGGAGTATTAAGGGAGAAAGATACCATAAATAGAATTCAAAACTCATCTCTAAGAGTGCATATGATAAAATATCCACAAACTCACGGTACAGCAAGAGGAAACAAAATGGAAATAGAATGTTACATAAAACTTTTGTGGAAATTCCAAAAATTTAGTTCTCTGTAGTAAATGTAAAAATGTTCACGGTGTCACTAATTTGGCCTAAGAGTACCCCATGAGAGAAGAAAACACTAGATAGTCCAGCTGCTTGGTCACACGATGTCTACGTTATACAACCAAGCCGCTCAGTTTCAGAAAGCTGTCACGGTTTAAGACACCCTCAAAAGTGACAGACAGCCCCGTCCTAACATCCGAGATGGCGCTTTGGAGAACAGCTATGTCACATGAGTGCTGAGTGTTTTGTTCAAGGAGAAACGAGGATCTGCAGTTCCACGTTATTTCATAAACCAAGCACTGGCTAGAAGATAGAGAGGATCCAAGACTAGAACAACACTAGTCGGGTATAAAAAAAATGCAAAGCAATACTGTCATGATTGACCCCAAATTCTATGAGAAAATCTTGTGTGAGGCCAAACATAGTCACCTCAAGAATAAAGCCAAACACATGGAATAATTCAATTTGCTGCTAACATGTGACTCTGTCTTCTATTTTTCCTCTATCATATAAAAGTGTTCAGAAATACTATCAAACTAAAAAGATTAAAATCTGATTTCAAAGTTTCCTCTCACTTTCGCCAGCTCAGCTGAAAGTTTGGAAATGGAAATTCTTTTAGCAGGGTTTTCTCTTTTTTCTTTGCTTTTCTTTCTTTTCTTTTTTCTTTTTTTGCTAAGAACACAAAGGTAAATTAGAGAGTACTTAAATTTTATGTGATTTTTTTTCTAAAAAATACACAGTAAAAGTGTGGTAGAGCTAAAACAGCTTACAACACTCTCAATGCATTTTTAAAAGGCACCAATATAAAATTTTATAAGTATTTAATACATTAAATTCAGGATTTAAGAGACCAGTTACTGTATATTTTAATTATTTTGCAGAAACTGGAAGACTAAAATATTTATAAAATAACTTTTATATATACAAAGTTTAAATTTACCCCTTGCTTTTTTTCCCTTTTGAAGACGGGGAGCTTTCACTGTAGAATACATACAGGCAGTATTTGTTAAAAATAACATGTGAAATAGAATTGACGATGACCACAAATCTACAATTTTATAATAAACAAATAATTCAAGGCTAAGAAAAATGTGTAGCCAGGTATCCTTGATAGTCTAAGTGCTGTCCTGAATCTAGGAGCAGGCAGCTTTCCTGGTCCAGCACAGCCTCCTCTGCCAATCTTTCTACCATAACTTACCATTTTGGAGATAAGATGAAGTAAGACTTGGAAAATACAAAGTCAAAATTTAGAATACGCAAATGTTGGGGTCTTGTAAGGTGTGGAACTGTGACGTAATCAGCACAAATGCAAGACCAAGTTGCTAAGTCATTTCCTGCATCTTCTTCCTCTCATAGAAAGAATACATATTTCTTTAAATTTTCACCAGTCAACTTAATATCTTTTCATTGTTTCACTTTTTTTTTTCCTGGATGTGGAAAACGGAGACTTGGGATCTAAGTTGCCACTAGCCCTAAAGACACACTGATAACATTGGGATTTCTTAATACAACCTGGTAAAGCAGACCTACGTGCTGATGTATCAGCTGTACTTCTAACTCTAAGCTTCATAACACATCTGGAGATGCTAACCGTCTCTTTTCAGGACTCTTCATCACAATGATGTGCAATACACAGGTGCCTGCAAATGTCGTGCCTTCAGTCACCTACGTGCGTGTATGCCAGCCAGCCAGGTTACTTTATCCTACATCTCAACGGTCAACCCTCATTTCCCCATTCTACTCAGAAATTTCTCAAGGGAATGTCTGAGGGGCAGTGTTCCCGCCTCTCCCTGGGGCTCACCATGCTGGTCACTGTTCTAGAGAGCCTTTATAGCAGCCTTCATCACTAGTGCAGAGGGGCAGCGTGCTTCTCCAGAAAGAACTGGTGATAAAAAAAAATTCTGGGTAAAATTAGAACAGTTATCTGATAAATTTCTGCCCGAGATGATAACCCATTTTCACGCCCCTCAAATACTCTTTGAATTGTAAAATCTTGCCTAAATAAACTGAGCTGTAACTGCTCTGCAAAGTTGATGTATTTGGTATCTGGCCCCCCCACGTCGCCTATTCTCTTTGGTGGAAAAGTCATTGAGAGTCCCTCAGACAGCATTATGTCCACAAAATTCACTATGACCTACAAATTTCGAGTGCACCTTGTCCTCTTTTGTCCCTGTCACACCTCAGCCATCTATGCCGTTTTCTGTACCTTGTGTTAGGCATCTTTAAACAAACTGCTAGTGTATCTGCATAGCAAACATACTGTCATAGCTGACTTCTTTGAATAAATCAGGGTTTCCAACAAGATGGAATTAGAAAGGGAGAGAGCATGTTAGTGCCATCTTCATATGGGGGTCCTCAAATCTTTATGTACACCTAAATTCAGCTCAGTCCTCGGGCAGGGAGATGCATGGTTCTTAATACAGTAGGTATGAGGAGAGAGAAGGAAGACCATCGATAAAGGATGCCAGCAGAAATTCACACGGCCGAAACTCTGAACACTTGGACAGGCATCCAAAAGCTTTGTGAAGTTGCAATAAGAACAAAAAATCATGAGCCTTATCATTATTTGCCTCCCTCACACAGAAATGGCATTTCCATCATAATTTGCGAGCACACAGAAATACACAGAAATGGCATTTCCATCATAATTTGCGAGAGAGCATGCAGAGTAAGTGGGGAAGGGGAGTCTTGAGAAGACCCTTTATGCCTGAGTAAGCTGTGTTTTCACAAATTACCAAGGGATGACAACAACAAAATAAGAAAAACCCAACATCCGGCATTAGCTCTATCTGTCTTTGGGTGTGTCCTCTTACACGGAAAGGAGTCATCTGGACATTCCTCCAGAAATAACCAAGATAGGAGCTAAGGAAAGAACTCAGTCAGAACGTTCCGACCTAGGCCTGGCTACGCTAGAGCTAAGCAGCGGCTTAAGTAACAGACGAGAACACGGCCATTGCTGGCTCTTTCTCCAGTCTCGATACTACCCAGGGCACACCACAGGTAGAAGGTTTTTGCACCCTATTCAAGGGTCTGCTCCAGCAATTATTTGTTACTGTGTATCGGGCCTTCCCCGTTCACAAATGGCTATCAGATAATTCAGCCATGGTCAGACTGTTGTCGCCAAACACAAGCAGTGAGTTATGTCTGCCAAACGCATTCCCCCAAATGGCTGAGATTAATATGCTCTATCTCACCCACAAATGCCAGTGGACTCCAGAGAAAAAGCCAATCACTCACAGAGATCAACTTAAAACTACACATGCAATATGAAGTATATGCCTTGTGCAAATAAAGAGAAGACAGAAAATCTATTAAGGGATTCAGATTTCTGACAAGGACTTGCAGAGTTGAATTTTTAACTTTTTTTTAAAGTGCAGGACCTTCACCTAAAGACTGTCACATTCTCAACTCCAAGAAGGGTAAAAGAAAACTTTGTTGTTCTTTTGTTTGACCTGCGGTGTGATATTCAGGTTACAAAGAAGTTCCCTTTTGTGCCTAGCAAAGACAGTAACTGATATTACTGAAGAAATGGTGAAATAAATAGCCCTAGCTCATAAATGACCTTCCAGTGTTCAAATGACCACATTCAGGTCCAATTAGCAGTTGCTCTAAGATTTTGAAAGAAGCAGCCAGGCTTCTTAAGACCTTCTACTCCAAGAGTCAGAGAGGAATGGACTACCAACAGAACTCTGAGTGGTCACAGCTGGAAGAAAAACACCAGACAAGGGTTCTCAGAGTGGGATTTCCCCTACTGTTAGCCTAATTACACTTTTCTGCTGACCGGTTAACACTGATTAAATGCTGAGAAAGTGACAATCGTAACACATCTTTAGAAACAAAGACGGATATTAGGCTGCCATCACATTACAATTTTTTTTTTTTAAAAAAATCCCAAATTGTGAAAAACAAAAATCTTCCTGGAAATTGCTGACTGCCTCCTACCCACTCTCAGACCATATGTTATTCTGAAAACTACATAAAAAATACTATTTGTTACAGGTGTTAAAAGTAAGGCTGCCAGGGTGTCTATAAAATGCCAGTCATCAAAACTATGGAAAAACAGTGCGCAAGTTTAGAAAAATAAGATCAGAGGACCTCAGGTGTATCGCAGGGGCCCCTAACTACCTGTAGTTTAAAAGTTTTACTATATGATACAGTGTAAAACATACTGAATTATAAATTCCATAGGGGAGGTAAACACAGAACCCACAACAATTCAACTCATCCTAGGAGTTATTGGAAAAAACAATGTGTTTGTGTTCCATCATCTCTAAGAACAGAAAATAAAATGGGTTTACATTTTGAAACATCTTTGAGAGTAAAATTACTTAGAGAATTTTAAATTGCCAAAGTCCTGTCCAGAAAACTCTCAGTTTCCCTACCTTCCATCAAAATCCTGAACATCAATGGCAAACAAGAATATTTTAGGTGAATCTCTATGAACCAAATGATTTCCCAAAGCAGGACAGGCCTTAATCTGGACGCATGACAGAAACAGACTGCTTTAAACACCCACAAAACAAACCAGCCAGGATACCAGTGAGCATCCCATCCCTTTTCTCATGTTTCTTTCTTACTATAATTAGGCAGAGCAAATGACATTTTGTCCACAAAATAAGAATCGTAGACAGCGACAGTATTTAAGGAGAAACAACGTCACCGTCTGAGGGAAGGTGGGGCTGTAAGTGCAGTATCTCTTCATGTGCAGTTCTTCATGGGGGTCCCCTTTGGAATGAAAAGGCCTAGTGGAATGTGTGCTCCCCTCGAACAATGTGTGATGAAAACTCATAACGGTCCTGGCTTCTGTAGCCACAGATGTTGCATTCCAGTGGGTCCCGGTAGCCATGACAACCCATGTGAATGGTGTACATGACATGGTCCAGGAAAAGGACTCGGCAGTGCTCACACTTGAAGGCCCTTATCTGTTCTCCTTCTCCATTGAAAACCTTATAGATGTCCTTCAGAGAGCCCTTGGCGGCCTTGGTAGCATCCAAGGCCTTGACATCCTCCTTCATGTAAGTGGGGCTTTGTTTCCTCTTGGGGTTTAAGGCAGGGTTTCCTTGGTAGGACTGGTGGTCATCGTGACTGCTTTCTGAGTCAGTAGAATCGAGGCAGCTATTGCTGGGAGAGGCCTCTCTTTCCTGGGGTCGACTCTTTGGTCTGATGAGAGAGATGGGGCCATCCATGTTGTTTTCATGACTGTCAGACGTTTCCCTGCTAACGGGTCTCTCTATCCTGTTCGGGTGATAGACCTGAGAATAGGCTGAGCTTAGAACCGGGGCCACCTCGGCGATTGTGCTTGGTGCGTGCTGCATCAGAGGGTGAAGGGCCTCAGCTCCAAGGTAGGTGATTGCATTGTTGATGGCTTGGTCCATCATGTGAGACTGCATCAGCTCAGCCTCCTTCTCATACGTTAGGTTCATATCGAAATGAAGATCTGGGTAGCTGAACCGCATCAGCTTTTCCCCTAAAATTAAAAAAAAAAAAATCAGGAAGAGAAAAGAAAAGGAGAAAACACAACAAAATTAGTGCTGGGATTAAAATTGTAAAAAGGTACAGGTTAACGAAACACTTGTTCCGTTTCACACAGGTCAAGAGCTTGGGCATTCTTCATTCTGTTGAGATACACAGGCACTGTGATCATGCTAAAAAAATTGGTAACAAGCCATTTGCACTTGCTCTAATGCCATCACAGAAATGCCCAGCCTGAACGCCTTTTACTTAAATTTTAACTTTTATTAAAATTTCATTTGCATGACACTTAAAATCATAGGAGAAAGAATAAATGCCAGGTCAAAATAAATCAGAGACTGGGCTCATTTCTGCATATCTCCAACACGGGGAATGAGCCACAAATCCAGGAGAGCATAGGGAATCTGGTTACAGCCGGTGCTGTTTTCCTCGAGGAGGAATAATTTGGCTGATTTAACTGCTACTTTAGAAAAGAAAAACTATTGAGTCAATATATATCAGTCAGCAGGACGCACACAATCATTGTTAAAGTGATGTAAAAGCTGATAACATAAATGTAATTAAAATGGATTAAGAATTATTTCTAAAAACACTTGTTCACAAAGTCGAAAAGTATTTAAGTTTTGGTTTTTGGGATTGGCAACTTTTCAAAATCCTTTTCTTGTTTGAAGCATATTGTTTCTCCTTTAATATTTACTATTAAAAAATAAAAACTTTAACTTTCCTCAGTATTTTATTTCAACACAAGGTCTGAATATTAACCATGAAGCCATTTGGGGGCTTCAAACAGAAAAAAATAAAAGCAATATTCCTATTTGGCATAGTAGTCCCCCCCACCCCCCGGTTAGTTTTTCAAGACAGGGTTTCTCTGTAGTTTTGGAGCCTGTCTTGGAACTAGCTCTTGTAGAACAGGTTAACCTTGAACCCATAGAGATTCACCTGCTTCTGCCTCCTGAGTGCTGGGATTAAAGACGTGCACCATAACCTCACTCAACAAGAGGATTCAGAAAGTTGCTGTCATGAGAGGCCTGGGCTACAGCAGTGAAGGGGCAGGTGGAGAAAGGTTGAAGGAAGCGACAGGGCCTTTGCGCATACTGCTGCGAGCTAGGCCTTCGCGATTCTCTAGACAGAGATAATGAGAAGCAGGAGGCATGAAGGTGAGTTTCCAGTCTTGGGAAAGGGAGTGGATGACAGCAAGACAGAAAAGGAGATAGCTTCGGTTTGAAGATCAAGATGCAGAACAGGTACATCTGATGAATACTCAGAAGAAGTATCTGGGTGGAAGATACAGACGCAACAGCCTCGGTTGGCAGAGGGCAACTCTAGAAGTGTGGCAGTTGATAGCATCACTCAGATGTGGGTAAACTGAAGAAAAGGTCAAGAAGAGCGCTGGGGAAATTCTTCTGTGTCAACAGAGTCAAGCTGGATTTGTACACTTTGCAGCGTATCTAGAATGCCTCTGGCCCTGTTTCTCACGGAACGAGGGTTTCATAAGGCCAGAGAAGGCAAGCTTCACTCTTCTCTGTGTAAGGACCCCAGAATCCCTCAACAACAGTTTCTGGGTGTGCTTCTAGGGTCTGTACATCCTATGCACCAGCAGTGCTCCTGGAGAGCACGTGCCTAGGCCGATCCTTAAAAACATCTGATTCTTTACATGTTATTTGTGTGGTCCAATAGCAAAGAACTTGTATGTACAGATAAGGGGACCTATGAGTGTGTGTGTGTGTGTGTGTGTGTGTGTGTGTGTGTGTGTGTGTGTGGTTTTGAAAATGTAAAGAACCAGGAATGAGTCTTCCATGGGGCAATTATGTACTCAGTCCCGAGGTCTAATGGGGACTCTTCAGAATTCTATACATGTGGACAGTTCGGTGAGGAGGAACAGAGAAGCTGGAAGATGAGGAGAAAGACAAATGTTCTAGAAATCAAAGGAAGAGTGTTTTTCAGATGGGTTGAAGATTTCAACAGTGGCAGACGCGCTTAGGATGTGTGTGTCGGACACTGTCTCCAAGGGGCTCATTGCACTCAGAACCATGCAAATGGGTTGCAGCCTCTAAGAAAATACTTTCAGGGGAACCTAGGCAAGAAAGCCAGGTTGCATGCCCTGGAAAAGGAATAGAACGAAGGAAAGCATGGGAAGGAGGCACTAAGAATTCCAGCTTTGAAGAGGAGAAAGCAGGTTACAGTACACAGATGGAGACTTGGGCTGAAGTTAACAGAATTGCCCTTGAAGTACTGATAGCCAAGTGAGAAAGATGGAAACAAAATGAGGATGGGAGAGAGAATCCAGGAGCACAAAACCCAGGAAATAACCTCAATCAGAAAGAGGGATGCTTCTTTCGCTGAAAGAGGGCAAAGACAAGAGGTATTTACATGGATGCCCACAGCCCTAGAGCATTGGTGATGGTATAATGCAATCATCTCATTTGCTACCTGTGATTACAGACATAAGACTTCCAAGGACAGACACACCAAGTGTGTGGACAGTAGCGACATGTGGGTCCCCACCATGGCCATGATGGGGAGTAGGAGAGAAGACTGTTCAGGATATGCTGAAGGAATGTCATTACATCCTTCGGGTGGGCAATCTGGTATTTCAGATCAATTGCACATTTACCTATAGTGGCAGTCATTCACAGGAATTTTGCCAGAAATACTTACTGGCAGCTGAGACAGAGTGTGGAAAAGATGCTGTGCTCAACTCATGGGACAGTGAGATGTCCCCAGGAAAAGTAGGACAAGGCAAGAGTCGAAAGTACTGGCAGGTGGTGGTAAAGGGATGAAGCATGAATCTCAGCTGTGTGAAGTAGGGTAGAAGAGACAGACAGATAAACAGAAGTTCAGGAATCACTGTCTGGAGAATGCAGTAGTTTAACTGAGGGGCATGTGAAAAGGGTTCATGCTAAGTTTGGAATGATGAAAATTTCCATTTTAAGAGCAGTCAAATAGAGAGTTACTCAATTGATGTAGCTATTGTTTTCTGTATATTACCAGAATGTATTCTAAATAAAGAAAAACAAAAATCAAGTTTAAATAAACACATAATGTTATTTTAAAATCATATTGAGGTTTTATAAAATCCTCTCTTCTAAGGAATTCCAACACTTGGAAGGGAGAAGCAGGTGGATCTCTGAGTTCAAGGCTAGCCTGCTCTACACACAAGTTCCAGGCAGCATGGGCTAAAAACACATCCTGTCTCAAAAAACCAAAACAAAAAGCAAAACAAATAAACAAAAGGCAGCATTTCTGAGTCAAAGGGAACACAAACTGTGACAAAGAGTTGACGAAATAAATCCAGAAGTTAGAAATAATAGTAATTTGTTCTTTTACTTTTTGATGTAGTTGGCTACATCAGTAATTGGTTAGATATGACTATCCCTCACAAAGGAATCTCTTTCTGATCTAAATGAAGAGTTTGACATGGTGTCTCCTGCTTGCAACACTGGTGGTGTAGAAGGGTCCTTCTTTCTATGTGTTGCTTTCACTGGCTGAATAAAGAGATTGCCTTGGCCTTTTGATAGGACAGCAGCTTAGATAGGTGGAGAATACAGAACTGAATTCTGGGAGAAAGAAAGCAGAGTCAGGCAGACGCCATGGCTCTCCTCTCCAAGACGGACGTAGGATAGACTCATCACGGTAAGCCACAATCATGTGGTGATATACAGATTATTAGAAATGGGTTAATCAATATGTAAGAGTTAGCCAAGAAGAGGCTAGAACTAATGGGCCAGGCAGTATTTAAATGAATACGATTTGTATGTTCTTATTTCAGTGTATAAGCTAACTAGGCGGCTGGGAGCCGGGCAGCAAGAAGCGGCCCACAGCTCCTTTTACACACTGACACACAGGAGGATTGCTGTGGATGAGAGTGTAGACAGATGAGACATAGTCTAAAAAATACAAAAGAAAGGCCTCAATAGAGCCTAAATAAAACAAACGATAAAATAAGTAAATGAACTGCCACCTCTCTTCCGTTCATAGATACTTTTAAAGGGGAACAGGGAGAAAAGCTGCCATGATGGGTCACTCAGTACAACCTAGGGTGTTGAACTGGCTTCATATAATGTATGGCTCTTGGGCTCATCCAGTAGCCTGTTCCATGAGTGCTCCCCAAATCCCTTCCGTTGGTCTTAAGGTGACAAGTGCTTTGCTAGTTCTCACTTAAAAATCTAAAGAAGCCTTTTCAAAGGCTTTCCTGGAGCAACAGGACTCATAGTCCCCTTAATATCCAAGGAAAAGGCTAGTTCCCACCACTGCTTAGTAAGCGTCTCTCTCTCTCTCTTACCAGGCTCTCTGCTGTTAGAAGGTGATAATCTTTTTTTAATAGTTTTACCTCTTTTTTTAAAACCATATCCCTTTAAGAAGATATTACATGTACAAGAAATAATAGTTCTTTAATAATGCTTTCTACTGAAACTCTACCATCCATACATTCTTTAAAAAAATGCAAGACCCTCTTCCTAAAAGGTGACCCACAATATACAGCATAGACAAAGACAGATGCCAACACTGGGAACACCAGCGAATATTGAAAGATTTGGAAATGAATGATGACATCCACATAAATATATGATTTTTCATCTTTTCAGCTCAAAAATCAAAGGCTGGATAAAAAATAAGGATCAAAACACAAAGTACAGATTCATGTTTTACATGGACACTGCTACATTAATTTTTGAAGACAAAGTTTGGAAACATCTAAAATGCCTTTGAATTCTAAATCAAATATTCAGAGACTTAATATTGGAAATTAAAAGAGTCAAAAAAGCTGACACTAATAGAAATGACAAGATACCACAAACGTGGCCAGTAGTGTAGATCCCATCTCTTACTCAGTATGAATTAAATTAATTAGCTTTAACACATGATCTCACTTTATATATCACTGCATGTTGATATGGTGCTTACTATCTAGCAATCACCCTTTAATACTTTCTCATAGGCCTAAGGCTGTGCGTGTGCATGTGTGTATGCACACTGCACATGGTAGGTCACAGAACAGGAGAGAACGATGTAGCAAAGACATGGCTATTGTTCTCACATCATGGACCACACCACCCATGTCTAACGCATGAGCTGTCTTGTTCCATCGCAGTCCCCAGATACAGAATCAAATCATCCGTCTGTGCTGCTTACCCACAAACTTCTGTGGAGTGGAGCTTTTGCGCTTTCCCATATTTGCCGTGAGCTTCTCTATGACAGCAGGTCTCTCAAAAGGCACCAGAGAAATATTGTTGTCCATAATAGGCTCTTGTTCCTTACAATCTTCCATGGGCGGTACTACATGAAACCATATAGAAAGGCAATCTGGTGATTTCTCCAACATTTGAGAGACACAGATAAGCATGCTATCCTGATTTGTGTTATATGTGTTATATAAGGTCAGTTTGTCTACTCAAATAAAAGGAAATGAAAAACACAGTATTAAAGAATACTGTTTAATACACACACACACACACCACACACAGAGTTTATTTTTATGAATCCCTTTTAGATCAATGACACAAACTGTTACCACTGCTGGTGACCAACATGTTCATCTGATTCTTTTTCCTCATTTTATTCCTCTGAAGTATGTGTAGTGTAGATTAAAGTTGGTAATGCTTTAGACTACACTATTACAAAGACTTTTTGACTTTACTTTTTAAAAATAATTTACATCTGTCACCCTGTTTTGGAGGAAGGCTCAGCAGCTGCTGGGTATTTGATGACTCTTCTCCCACACGCTTTCCCGCAGCCGGCTCTCTATTTGATGAGGTCTCAGCCTTACTGGCAGCATATCCACCTGCACACGGTCCCTCATGCAGGGGGTCCGGTTCTGCACTTGTCTGTGCACAGTAAACTGTAGGAGCTTTCAGGCTGTGGATCATCTCTAAAAACAGCTCTCGAGGAGGAGGATGAAGGAATCCACTTCCAACCTGGCACACTGGCTCATGGAACTGCTGTCCTAACTCATTTGGTGGGCTCCACTCAGCATGCTTGTCTCAGGTGCTGCTGGCCGCAGTATGGACATTGCTAGGGTAGATAAGGGACTCAAAAAAGTCTTACTGAAAGTGAGACTCCTGTCCAGGATATTTAGCTGAGAAGAGGGCAACATTCCACACAGATCAGATGGGGTGATTAACACTAGTGCTCAGGGGAAGGACCAGAAGGTTCTTACACCTCCTAGGTGCTCTTTCCTCATTCAGCATCCACTGTTGAGTGATTCACCCAGGTCCTTGTATTTGTAGAGGACAGACCTACTGCATGAAACCCAGTTTGCTCTAGTCTCCCAGGGGGGAATCCCGCTGATGGACAGTAAAAATTTTAAAGCAAAGCTGAAATGAAAACACATGTCACACGACTTATTGATTATCAATATATGTTGCCGATCTTAAATGAAAGAGAGATCACCGAAAAGCCATTCTTTGTAGTATGTTTGGGCATCTCTAGGGTATATTCCCAAGAGAGGAATTGCTGGGTCCTGAGGGAGGTTGACTCCCAGTTTCCTGAGTCACTTGGTCATTTTTTAAAAATAATAATAATAAAAAAACAACAGTGATTGTCTGGGTAACCTAGTGGCTCGACCAGGAGAAGTTAAACTTTAATCTACATTTAAGAAGGCACCCTCTGGTTCTGAATATTAAGGAATTCTCTAACTGTTGGATGTCAGCCAGCGTGGAAAAAGAAAGACAAGGTGAGAATTAGAAATATAGGCATTAAACACTGATACTGTTTATGATACCATTGAGAGAAAAATTTCTCCCAAAGGATTACATAAGATATTATGTGATCTTTTAACTATAAATAACTTGAAAGAAAAATCAAAATTTTTTTAAGCAAACTGATTTAAAAAAAATACCAAGAGGCTCACAGACCTCAGCTAAAAGAGCCAGGAGGAGGGAGGCTGAAATAATGGCATTGGTGTGCCAAGGAAACAGGCGGTGGGATGTAGATTATGACCTTGTGTTTTCAGTAGTAAACTCATAAGCACTTACTGCCGTAATAAAATAATGACATGCTGGGCATGGTGGCTCATGCCTGGAACCCCAGTTCTTAGGAAGCTCAGGCAGGAGAAGTGCCATAAGTTGGATGTTAGCCTGGGACAGGTACCAAGAGTCTGTTCCAAAAACAAAAACAACCTACCAAACTACAAAGTCGTCCACGTGTGAACCAAAGAACATACATATCACGGGCCTAAACACAAAACGAAAAATATTGGCAGGCAAAAAATTGTTGTAAAATTTGCCCCACAGGCAGTAAAACTAGTCGGTGGGGTTTGCCCTGCATGCTGAATATGCTAATTGCTTTTGAAATGAGTAGTCTAGAGAGTGGCAGTTTTGCTTTAGGTTTTACATTGAATTTTCATATTTGCACACACCTAACACTCAAAATGAAACCTGGGTGGGGACTCTCCCACACCACATCCACCTCAGTTCAGATGACTTGTCTCAAGTTCAATGAAGCTCATGTGAACTGAAAGCAATGACTATAAAAGAGCTTGTTCTGTTTTCTATTTCACAACAGCTCCTCATGCCCAAAGACAAGCTTTCTGCCACACTGGCAGTAATAATGATGGACAGAAACTTGGTAGTAAGCACGACTTCAAGGCTTTACATGTAATAGTCTATACAATACTTTCAAGTATGCAGGAAGCAGGTGCTCTTCATTTTACAGGCAGGGAACTGATGATACCACGATTGGAGGCAATATTTGCTGTGCATCACTATCAGGTCAGAATGCTAATCCTGAGAGGTTTTGCTTTAGGGAATGCTTGGACTGCGCTATGTAGACCTATTTTGAATACTGCCATCATATATAACATCTCGGCAGCCTTGTAAATTCATTGGGAAAAAGACCTGACACTCTTTCCCTTAATTATATAATCTGAGATTTTGCTTTTCATAAATGAGGTGTAACTTAACATATTGTGTCTGGATCTATACTATTTAGAATTCAAAACAAATTTTCTAAATAGTTCATGCCTCAATTGTATTAATTACATCACAAGACCAAAGGTCTAGACATATGATATACATGATATGAAGATAGCTTCATTTGTTGGAGCAAATTCCATAATTCAGCATCTTCATCTTTTTTGATTTTATTTGAAGTAGTATGTATGATAAAGATGTATTTAACTTTTCATACATATTTCATCACACGAATAAACCATAAATGTAGATCAATAAGAGTATTCCCAACACTGTTTCTTTTTACCAAAAATACCTTCAAATTTCAAATTCTAAGAAAACTTCATTTTCTTTCCATTCGACTGATGTTTCTAAGAGCATTTAATTCTCTTCCTTAATATGCCATCAGGGCTCCGCCCTACTCCCTTGTCTTGACGCTGCCTTTGCCTCCTTTCATCAGCATCATTGGGACCAGTCTACTCATACTTTCCGAGGACCCAGGGAGACATCAAACCTTTCTCCACATTGATGAATCTTCCCTTTGGTGACACCAATTTTAATCACCCAGTGGCTTCTTATCAATTAAGCCATGACATTCACAGGCTGGCGCAGCATACAGTGCTTTTGCCTCCCAACCTGTTACTTCAGCCTTGCTTTCTGTTGCTCTTTCGATTAACTTGAAATTATCTGCTAATTTCCTTTGATGCCTACATACCTCTTCTCTGAATGGAATATACAGTCTGTCAGCTGTCAGATATATGGACTTTGTCTCACTTCTCATTCTCAGATCTGATGCTATGCAAGCTTGAAGCTTTCCTCAACTTCTCCATCAGTGAAGGGCTGTGGCCCTGGAGAACTTCACAGACATCATTACTACAGCGTTTGCTTCAATTCATTTGGTTATTTTTAACCTGGATTGTTCACTAATCAATAAAGGTACATAAACCGCAAACTTTTATCTTTCTACTTCCAGGATGCTCCATAGAAAGTCTTTGAGAGCCTTCTGAATGAAGTGGAAGAATATCCCTTTTTCTTCAGACCCTTCTTCTCATGAAGAGCCATTGTTTGGGACAAACCAGTTTTGGAAAAGAGAGGCTAAGAAAATTACTATGTCAGACATGGAGTAGAAGCCAGCTATACTGGGAAAACAACGTCCATTCATACCACTAACAGAAAGGGGGAAACAGGTACGAGGACAGAAGCAAAAGAAGGAATAAATACGAATCTCTGAGATGCAAGGCAAGCTATGCGTATGAGACAATTAACAGCTATAATAGTATTCCACCGTTGCTTCCCCACGACATCTGCCATTTGCTTCCTCACACGCCAATACAGAGCCCTAGGAAATATGTTCATGGAAGGAAAAGGATACTTACAATGCTCTCAGAATATTACTAGGAATCCAGAAAAGCACAGCCATGAAATGGTGTTAACCATGCAGTGAGTGTGGTTGAGGCATTATCTAATAATTAAGAATGAATGTTAAAGCCTGATATCAAAACCTGTCACCATTTTGCTCCTCCCTGGCCTGGTCCCGCTGTCCCCAGTGTCTCGCTGTCTCTCTCAAGCTCATTCTTATTGCGTTTTAGGTTCATCACCAGAGCCTACGCTGGAGAAAAACTATGAATCTGGGAAATGGGACAATACCAAAGCCCCAATTACTTAGAAGTCATATAGCTATCTCTCCAGAATATATGACACACATCCTAAGATAGGTCCATATACATATAATTCTCTGAAATAAGATAAAGTTATGAAAAGCTCTGGCTTTTATCCTGGTAGACATGTAATTCAGAAGTCTGTAAATGAATGAATAGAAATAAATGAACAGAATTTGCATATGGCCTCTAAGCACAGGCCGGAATTGCAATGGGGGACCATCACAAGGAGAAACCAATGAGGACATTAAGGAGCATCTTTGGAGAGCTTCTGCATGCAGCTGAACATGCTTCAGCCCCCTGTCTCCAGTCAGCCCCCAAACCAACCATTTAAAATGGCTGTTCTCAACCTTGGGGTCTCAACCCCTCAAGCAAACCTCTGTCTTAAAAAGTACTAACATTATGATTCATTAGAGCAGCAAAATCACACTCATGAAGTAGTAACAAAAATAATGTTATGGCTGGGGGTCAGCACAACATGAGGAACTGTATTAAAGTGCTGCAACATTAGGAAGGTTGCGAGGCATGGATTTAGAACAAAGCTATGATCCGAGTAGGCAAATGCACACTCCAATGTTAAATGGTGATAACATTAAAGAGAATGGCCTATTTCCTGGCTCTTAGTATTAATGCTGTAAAATCTAATAGCAAAATAATCACTTAAGACACTTATCATATAACCTATTACATGTAATTCTCTCAACATACCTATGATCCACATAGTAAAGACCAGATAGTCAAACCAGATTTCTCAGGGCCAACGTCCACAACTGTATAGCCTCCAGGTCTGGGTCCTATGCTACCTCACTCATCCATTTAGTTGAGAGAATCAATTCTTTATGTAAGGACTCAAACAAAGGTAAATAACTAAAATATTTACAACTGTGAAAAAAAAACTCAAATTAAAACCACAAAAATCACTTCCAGAGTATATTATGTATATAAAAAGCAAACTAAAAAATTGATAAACAATCTGATTGCTTATATCTAAGTCAATTAATATTTATATTTTTAAAGTGACTGAGGGAAATTATACCATCTAGTATTAGTCAATTCTTTTTAAATAAAAAACACAAATATTCCAATAAGATATAAGGGCTTTTATTTTTATTTGTATGAAATCACTTGGTATAAGTAGATAAGGGAGATGCTAAGAATTTAAAGATCCCCTGTGAAAGAAGGCTGAGTTGTTGAACTCACTTAGGCAGAGTTGTCACACCCTTGGGACCACCTTCCACACTGCTAGGATCAAGGGCTTTTCCTGACAGAATGTGTTTTAGGAGGAAGGAGAAGAGTCAAATTTCAGGCTAGGTTATCTCTTGCATGTGTATAAAGTAAAACTACTAATTCCCCAAATAAATTATTAGGCACAATTTCAAGTTGATAGTGCACCTCTGAGAGAACCTACAGCGTCCTGAGAGGAGTATTAAGCCCCTCTGCATCTATGTGCGGAGCTCAGAGACTTGTGTGAATCCATTGCCACAGAGAGATACAAAAGAAGACTAAGCAGTCCTTTCCTGTGGCATTTCTAATGTAGCTCTAATGCTGGCTGTCATTACTGTGCTAATTCAAACACATGCTATCAGAGCTGATTTGGGAGTGCCACGGAAACTCAAGAATCTCGTTTGTCGTTGTTCCAAAACAGCTCATGTCAACTGCTGAGGAAGATAATCCCATGCAAAGCAAAGATGGTTGAAAAAACTGTAGACAGCAAGAAGGGACGGTTTAACCCACAAGAAGGACTAGACACGGCAGGCTAGGAGGAAGAAGAATCACAAATGCATTGTTACCCACCATGGTGACTCATGACCTGCCCGGCAGCCTCCATGCTGACATTCTGGAGATAGTTGTGGCAGCGTTCCTTGTGCTCCTCCAGTGAGCTGCGCTGCTTGTAGCTTCGTCCACAGTAGTTACACTTGTGAGGCTTACCCACTGTGAAGAGAGTCAGGGTTAGTGTGCTCCTCGCCTCAGCAAATGAACAGCTCAACTTCTGATGTTTGGAAGAAACGGTTATATGATCCTCAGATTTAGTCTTCCTCCTCCACACTCCAATTTAGGCGAAAACAATGAATTGTCTACTAAAACGAAAGACGGCAAGAAGATAGGAAGATAGGAAGATCGCACCTCCAGGAGTAGGGGAAATACTGAATCAACTCCTGCTCTGACTGTATTCTCTGCAGTCCCGTCCTCGGGGCTGATGATCAGTCTGTACATTATATGACTCTTAACCCATTAACCTTTACAGTTAGGCCAGAGTTCTCTTATTAAAAAGGCATAGCAGGGCTCTCCTGCATACAGAGTAAGGTGTGTGTGTGTGTCTGTCTGTCTGTCTGTGTCTATGCGTGCGCACGCATGCACACACACACATATGAGTTTTAGTAAGAACTGAGAATTTTTCTGAAGAAAAACTAAAAATGCAACAGCTTGAAATGTCACTGTTTAAATAAAAAGAGATTATTCATGGGTACCAAGAAAACTAAAAAGAATTCAAGCATTGAAAAATTACAGATATATAACTAGAGAGGTGGTTTCTCTATCTGTCTGTCTGTCTGTCTGTCTGTCTATCTCCCTGACTGGGTAGTAACTGTCCACATACCAGAGCTTTGCAGCAAGTGGGTACGCTCTCTGTGCAGATTCTGCCTTTGTGCTGCCAAGAATTACCTTCCACGGTGCTGTGAGCAGGGAACCACTGGAGCCCCAACATACTTAGTTACCATGGAAATGGTGCCTTCCACATTTCATATTACGGAAGGGAATTTCTCCTAACAGTTATGGAGCCATGATCTCAGTACAGTTAATGACTAAGACATGTACTGTGATGTTTGTGGTGAACATCTTTGAAAAACTCATAGAAAAAAAATTGTATAGACTGAGGGATATTTTGAGACAGGATTATCCATAAGTTTGCCATGAGCACTTTGCTTCTTGGTTAGACATGGATCCAGAACAACAGACACCAGTAAGTGGTCAGCGCCAGAGTCCCTGAAGGACAGTGGGGATCAGGCCAGCTAATCTCATTTGACTCCCCGAGGAATCATTCAGTTTCACCTAGAGAACAAAGAGCAGCCTCAGTTTTCATAGTAATATCCTCACTGCCAGCAACCTTACAAACCCAGGGGGTGACACATGAGAAACCTTAAAACTGTACCAAGCAGAAGCACTCAAAGTTCCTCAACCTTCGCACTGCTGATCAGGAAAACAAATGCACAGCAGCAAAACCAAGCCAAAACTAGGGATTCTATCTGATCCATATACACATTCAAATCAATTGTTTCATAATGCAAATTTAATAAAGCACCTTCGATAAAAGTGATCTAAGGTAAGATTAGCCATTTAAAAATACTGGGGAAAAATTCCTCCTTTTTGAAAACCAGGTATTCATTGTTCTACTTCTGGAAAGTAGCTGTTAATACATGTGTAGAAAATAGTTTTCATGGGAACATTAAAACATAAGCAAAAACAGATTAAATAGTACGTATCTGCATGTATATACACTGCAAGATGTGACCCTACCTAACAGTGTTCTTATTTTTTATTACCATGGAAACAAAGATGGCAATATGCTGGATAAGTCTACTAACCATTACTATTCACCAGACACTGAAAGTATAGTCCACTGGGAGACAGTTCAGTCACCCCCCCCCACACACTGTACCCAGTGTTAATTTCCTGCACTGGATATGATGAGGTCTGTTTTCTGATTATTTTCACATGTTTTCTCCATGTTACTTTAAACATCCTATGTTTCATGTCAACTTAACTGAGGTATGACTATATGTTACTTCTCTTGGCTTCTAACCTCTGTAACCCCCCAATTTATTCGATATAGTAACACACACACACACACACACACACACACACTTTTGTATGAGTATCTCTTCCTGTTGCTGTGATGCAATGCCCTGATAAAGCAACTCAGTGGAAGAGTTTATTTCAGTTCACGACCCATACTGGGAGTGGTGCCACTGAATTTTAGGGTGGGTGTCCCCCTTCAATGAGCCTAATTAATATAACCCCTAAGCAATGCTCAGAAGTTGACCTAGCCGACACGATCCCCCACGATGTTTGCTCTTGGTCATTCTTGGTCATTTGCTCTTGGACATTTACTGTCAAGTTGACAGTAAACATCAACTGTCACAAAGTTTTACTGATGCCGACTCATTTCTCAGCTTCCCTCATTTTTGGGAGCCTATCTCGTGTTTTAATTCTTCTCCCATTTTGTCATTTATTTATTTTCCAAAATACTAGTCCTCCCCCTGCATCCCATCAGGTTCTCAGTGAGATCAATGGGGTTGTCAGTAGTTACCTTGTAAAACTGACTTTTACTAGTGTAAACTCAATTTCATCACCTCTTCATCTCCACTTTATATCAATAAAATAAATATCTGGTGATATTTTGGATTCTGAAAGGTATTACTAGAATACTATTCTATCTCAAAGAAAGTTGCTCTGGAAATATTCTACCCTTTCTTTTACTGCTCTCATTTATTGAACCTATATTTTTTGTTTTGTTTTTCTTTTCTTTTTTAAATATTTATTTATTTATTATGAATACAATATTCTGTCTCCATGCAGGCCTGAAGAGGGCACCAAGCCTCATTACAGATGGTTGTGAGCCACCATGTGGTTGCTGGGAACCGAACTCAGGACCTTAGGAAGAGCAGGCAATGCTCTTAACCGCTGAGCCATCTCTCCAGCCCCTATTGAACATATATTTATCGAAAAGAACAGCAGGTAACAATACTGTGCTGAGACTGCCATGCACAGTGCAGACCAAATTCTTATGGTGCCCATGTGTCTATTACAGCCTAGTAAGGACAGAGACTCTATCTTCTAGCACTATATACTATAGACTGTGATAGGTTCTGCAGTGGAAAACAATGGGGACTAGAATAATTTATGGAATCTTTAGCACAAGACGATGGAAGGAGAAGGTGTGTCTGAGGTAGAAACGTCTGTTACAGAGGTGTAAGAGCCTCCACGTGGGTGCTGGCAGCCAAACTTGGCTCTTCTGGAAGAGCAGCAAGTCCCTTAACCACTGAGTTATCTCTCCAGCAAGTTTACGTTATTTTTAATTCAATGACTATTTTTATTTTTACCAGTTATACACACCCATGTGTTAAAAAAAAACAACTAAAAAAAATAAAAAGGTGCCATTGAAATACATTAAACCCTTCATGTGTGGCCCACAAAAATCTAACCATAATCGCCAAAGCAATGTCTTCCAATGTCTAGTGAGTTTATCCCTTTAAAGAATGTATCTGTTTTCTTTGTTCAACAGTGTTAGAGGTGATATGTTGTCTTTTGGTAAGAATTCAGCCCCACAAACATCTTCTCAAGTCTTCTTTCATTTCAAGTTACAAGGAAATTTCAAATTAATAGTTTAAAAATGGAAATGTCCATTATTAATGGAGATATTAATCATAGCATTATTATTATATAGCTGAATCCAATTTCATTTCAGTTCTTGTACCTTTTTTTAGGTTTTTCTATTTAAAAAGTGCATTGTTTTAAACTTTTCTTTGTGGCATTGTACTCAGTGATCCTTCTTCCCATACAGAGATCTGAGACCTAATAATAATTGCTCTAAACATTCCCATCCTAACCCATTCTCAGGTCTTGGCCATGCCTCCCGTTCCTTTCTTGCTTTCTCACAGCCAAATGTACTCCAACCTCGCCAGAACCTATGGAGTTTTTTGACTTATTGTATACTTGTAGGCTTGGCACTGCCCATTATTTTTCTATGACTGGCCTTCCTGACTGCCTAAATCTAATGTGTTTCTCTCCCTTTATTCATTATAAGATTCCTAGGTTGGAGATAAAAATAATTTTCCCTTTACATTTTGAAGGCCTTGTTCAACTGAACTAGTGATCTTTAGTTTCTTTTCAAATGCCTGGTACAAATGTGGTTTTCTATGTAACATGCTCACTGCAAAGCTCTTAGCATCTATTTGTATTTGATGTTGGCCCGTTTCTGAAATAAGAATTACATCCCTTTAGTCTGCAGCTTAATGCATGCCGTTTAGCTCTTAATAAATGTATGTGCGTCATATATAATATTTATAAAACTTCAACATACATGTACATAGATAGCACATAAACATGTAGCTATATACATGTAGTTGCTAAAGATGCAAATAGTCTGTGACTTTTAACCTTTACATATGCATGTTCATAGCTCTCATTTTGAAAATAGGGATATCTATTGTTCCATGTCATGAAATATATATATATTCCATTCCGACCATGAAAATCTACTGGCTACTTACTGTAGTACAAGTCTAGACTTTATTCCATTCCATTATCTCTGTCCATAAATCATCAAATCAATATTTACCAATAGAGTCAGTTTTTAAATAAGTCATCCAGCCTTCCTTTTCAAAATTCTTTGAAAAAACTCAGATCATTTTTATTTCCAAAAACAATCTGCATAAGTTAGTCAATGTTTATAACAATAAACCAAAAGAAAGAAAGAGAGAGAGAGAGAGAGAGAGAGAGAGAGAGAGAGAGAGAGAGAGAAAGCAAGCAAGCTGCCTGGATGCTCACTGAGACTGCATGGAATGGACAGGCTTAACTTTAGGAGAACTAATAAACTTTTAAAATATTCTTGCTGTATTTTTATGTTCGGGTGTTTTGTCTGCAGGTACGTCTATGTACCCACTTCTGGAACCCACAGAGACTAGAAGAGGTGCTATATATGGTTGTGAATCACCAGGTAGGTGCTGGAGATGGAACCCAGATCCTCTAGAAGAGCGATGGGTGCTCTTAACTGCTGAGATGTTGCTCCTGTTCCCACTGATTAATATCAGAGCAGTAGATGTTTTCAAACATTATCATACTCTAGCTCCTTATTTACTTGGAGTTTGTGTGTGTGCGCGTGTGTGCGTGTGTGCGTGTGTGTGTGTGTGTGTGTGTGTGTGTGTGTGTGTGTG